AGATCGAAGCCCTTACAAACCTCAGCCATAGCTATTTACTAATTATAAGTAACAAGAAGCTGCGGGACTCTACTCATTATATGCTACCGCAGTCCATGCGGACATGCCTGTTTCAAAATTAAAAAATTAAAAACCTATACGAATGAACATTTCTGCTCATGTGCACCTCCACCTTGAAACACTGGCGCATTATCCCCAGCTCCTCTAAAGACCTCTTGCACAGTCTAGTTGATCCTTGATATCTTCTAATATCACTGCTTGAATAGGTGCTTGAATAACACCCTCACTTCAAATTTACTTCACAAGGAATCACTCGTATTCGGTAACTTGGATCTCTCCCGAATACTGACTAGTTACGGAACCTTGTAGTTGATGTATTTGATTGATCACTCGACTTCCACATAGCAACAAAGATTCGTGAACATGAAATGACGTAGTTTACGGGGGTGGTTGAAATTGGAATCGACCCCTTTCTTCTGCATAACCCATTCCGATCCCGGGAGTTCAAGCTCTTTCCTTTTGATTGCGGATGTTTCTTTATGTTAACTTCCTCTTTTTCTTCAGTCTTTTCTTAGTTCACCCGCCACATTATTCTCGTGGGGCCTAAGAGATCGGTGCAGGGTGTTATATACATAGCTCGTGTATGGTTTCTCGGGCACTCCGAGACTACGGTCCGTTCAGTATTTACGGGGCCAAAAACAGCTTAGCTTGTAGATAGTTCCTAGAGTTCGGGCCGCAGAGCCGCAACGCCGGCTCCAAACAGATCTACACAGATCAGCGAAGCTTATCTTCACCTCTTCTGTCCCCGTCTTGTTCGCACCGTCTGCGTCTATATATATTTCTTTTCCGCTTGTCATGGCGTCCAGATAAGCAACAGATATCCAGCCAGTTTTCCGTTAGGTTTTGCTGAGAGATATCTATATAGTAACATCCTAAGTTTTTCTGCTCAAAACTGAAGAGATATCCACTACCCAACTCTTATTTAGGCGTTGCAGGAGCTCGACGGGGTGTCAGGGAATAGGTAAAGCATGACTGTGCGGTGAATCTGAACGAGGAGCTCGAGCATGGGTCGGGTTGAACATGTAAGAAATCAGAGATACTTTGCAGCACAAGAGGGATTTTTCGAATTCTCTAGGGAGCAACTATCCGCCATCAACTCCAGTCTCTTTGCGTTATCTATCACGTCTCGCTCTGTTGGAAGCCGGGTGTGGTGGTGTTACAGATGGGGGACAAAAGTTTTCGCGAATCGCCATTTCGCGTCCCATGCCTCCCCTCGTCAACTACACCTTCTGGGCTGTATCTCCACAACAACAAAGAAAGAATTACTCTGATTTATATCAAAGTTAGAATACATATAAAAGAAAAGTCTATTAAATTTACAGAGAATTCCAACCACATTGAGGCTCAATATATAATGTATCAGCCATCTGCCTCAAGTATAGAAGCCACCCTAATTTCCATAGCTGCTCCAAGTACTCTAAGTCGATTCCCTCTTCCCAAATAATAGGGAATACTTGTGCTAGTCTCTGCCCAATTACTTCAGATCCTACAGGGTGTAGGGAGGCTGTGGTGGTTGTATGTGGGAGTGAGACCGCAGTGGCCAAAGTAGTAGTTAATAAATAATTAGATTGTTGAGAGCAGTCAGTCAACACCATTTGCTTTAATTTATGTGGCCGACTGCCAGACTCTCCATTCTATCGCTCTCTGCCCTTTCTCAAAGTCTAACAATTGCCCCTTCATTGTTGTGGTGTGGGAACGGCAGACATATTTGTTGGTAGCTGGGAAGTTTTAACTCGCGAAAACTTTTGTCCTAGTACTGTACTATGTTAGAGATTTTCCATGAGATTCACATAGCTTTTAGTTATCAACACAGGCTCATGAAATCGATTAGGCGAGTCAGTCCCTTGGGTGAGTCTAGAGCCCGCTTCCGAAACGTTCTGATATCAATTATCATCGTCACTCTCCGTCACTTGACAAACCCGACACAATGCAGATTCTACCCAACCAACAGGACAAACGCAAAGATGAACTGCCTTCATTGATATCGCGGAAAGCTACAAACAATGGAGGATTGAACCCTCCTTCAGAATGTCGTAACAACTTAAGCTGGATCCGCGGATCCGGTGTCTCATCAGACGATGTGGTTCAGGGACTGACTATGTTGGGAAGGGCTTCTATTCTTTGCCCGACTCACTCTCAGGATCGCGATATATAATGTAACACATCTATGGGGCAGCCATGCTGTGATCCCTTGAGCTCGAGCCTAGTGTTGCACAGAGTTCCGGATAGCAGAACCAACGGCAGGCCGAGCGGCTGCATGCAGCTTGTGGAGATGTCTAGGGATGTTGTAGCACCTGTAGCGGCGGAAATTGCAACGGCAATAAAGAAGCCAGTGGGGGTGGTTAAAAACGGATCCAAGGACGCACATGTAAGTAAAACGCAAAATTTTCATCTGTCGGCGACTTTGCTATCTGGGTCATGAATCATCACTCATGAATTCGACACCATAGATTCGAGCCCAATGGAGGGGCTCGAGATGTTTTGTCTCATGGCTACTCAAATTTTGCCTTGTCGGGTCACCTCGTTCTGTATACATGCAATGTTAATCATGGTCGGTCACCACATCAACGTTGTCGAGTCAGGAAATGACCGAGGAGGCGCCAATCAGATCTTGAGTAGTTTCAACGGCAACATACTGTGCCGAGCGGTGACAAAGGAACGGCTGTTTGAAAATGTCAGATTTTCCAACGAACGAGCGCCAAATGACGGCTCTGGATAACAAACCGGGACTAAAAGATATGGGCTGCAAACAAGTGAAACAGATGAACATTAGCGAGGATTTCCAGATGGGCAGGCGGCAGTGGAAAGGCGACTGGGAGGAGCTAGAGCTGGGGAGGAGGAGATAAAGGCGGCGGCCGAGGGTGGTGACATAGACTCATGAGCTCAAACCTCAAGATTCAAGAATTAGAGTATGGTTTCAGGACAACAAGGGCCTTAGAATTCTATCCGTTCAAATGACAGATGGCCGAACTCCAGCTGCCCTTAAATGACGCTTTTGATGAGCACCCCAGACAAACTGATGCCCGATGACGTTCGTTATTTAAATCTCGGTACAGTATCTAACAGCGTGAAATGCTTCCAAGTATTGATTATCTAGTCGCTTCTGGTCCCAGTCGACGTCCGGAAATGGCGCTGTCTTCACTTTGATCATGCCAGTTAGGAAGAGCAATATCGATGCGGTCGAATAATTTCCCGTAACTAGGTGCGCACGTGTTGCCCCACAATCATCAATCTACAAACGCCGTTGATTGGGATTCTGCGGGATTCTCACACCCTACTTCGACTTGGAACAGCCAGTCCAGCAGCTGCGCAGTCCGAGCAGACAATTGCCAACCGATGGCCAGGAGAGATGGCCGGAATTCTCGCCGCTTTCTAGTTGTACTTTATTATGGGATCGGGAAGCTGACGTGGCCATAAACACCACCCACGATTGATATGCACCGGATACTCTATGCATCGGTCGAGGGGGTGTGTTGAAGTTGGCGCTGAAATGTTCATGGTCGGAGATACATAACTTCCGAACAATGTGTTCTCGAGTATTCCTTGTTTATGAAGGGATGGCCTATCGACCGTTGAGAAGCAGCCACGTTTAGTAGGGTCCTAGGGGTAATCAATTTAGGAAATTCATATATGCAGTACTGGTACTCTACTGAGTCTACTCTACCGTTATAACGCTATTGTAATAATAATTGAATGCCCTTGTTCCCAGTTGACCCATTCCTCAGTAGCCCTGCGGTTGGCTTTAGGTTTGAACGTTTGAGATGCTACGATAGACGACTGAAACCCCCACGTTTCGGATCGCTTTGTCCTGCGTGCCGACTTGAATATGAAGACACGCAGGTGGTGAGGTGAATAGATATGCGCCATATTATCCATCACCCGAGGAGAAGGGTACTGGGCTCTTATAACCGGCCCGCCACCAACAAAATGGTACCATATTGCCCAGATTGAATACCCCACTGTCCCACGAGGAGACGATCTCTGGCGAGAAACATATTTTTTGACAACGGGAGAGTCCTATTCCCTCGATTATCTGCACCCCGTACAGAGTACATGAAAACCCAAGGATCCATCATCCACTGCGCCACTCTTCCCTGCCTCAGTGTACTAGTGCATGGAATTAGTACCGGAAAATGCAATCTCTGGATTTATACCCAGACTGGGTTTCCCTACCCTTTCACATAAGTCCCATCACTTACATTTTCTGGCCGTTCGTACCAATACCCTGCAACAAGTAACTCAACCTCCACACCTATGTCCCGACAGTACACATTCTCCTTTATTTCTTTCTTTCATGAAATAAGCTACAAGGACACGGAGGTGGATCCACCTGATCAGGCACCAGGGGTCTCAATAGTCTGTCTCGTCACGTCATTAGCCGATTAGCGATTCTCCTCCTTCAACATGGTCGTTTCAACCTTGCCTCAAATAAGAGATCTTCCAATTTGAAAGTCCAATCTTACCTACGGAAGGCCCGCTACCTTCTCGTTGCGGAGTAGCTAACAATTCGCTTCAACAGCGATGGTCATCTTCAAATTTATGCCCCTGCATACGCCTAAACTGACTGCCGGCAGGATTCAAGGTTTCCCCTGCTATCCCGCGGCAACATCCGGTAGCTACGTAGATAATCCGTGGGCCCCCGAAGCGCGATCCTAGGGATTCTTATTCGAGCCCGGGATTCTACTCCAGACATATAGATAACCCTGCTCTGTTCTGGAAATAACCGAGGCTGCGTACGATACGCACTGGGTGCGATTTTCGGCTCCAGAATATATTTTGACAGTTCCAGCAATCTGGATTGACGCGGCAAACGCTCTTATGATCGACGCGGCCGAGAACGTTGGGTTCGGCATGCCGGCACCGCAACCCTCCACCATGGCACGTATACAAACAAGACACCACAACCAAAAATGAGGTGATGAGCAAGAAACTAAAAAGAATTCTGTCACGATGAATCGAACCCCAGTCTGGCCGGTTTAATGCTTTCACAATGAGAGTGGCCGATGCTAGCCACTAGACCATAACGGATGATAATTAATGATTGAGTTGCATTTTTATGAATATACAGCATTGTAACACGAGGAGTAACCGCGCGTAATAAGGCTCTCGGAACTCCGCACAGGAGACCCTTCTGTACGAAATTAAACTTAGAAACTTTAACAGGTTCCTAGTTTCTCAGATGACATTGGTAGAGTATGTATCGGTCGAGAGACGGATATAGTAGTACGGACTTTGTAGACATTATTGACGTCAACCGGTCAGCTTCGACGTCAGATGAAAAGTGTATCCAACCAGAAGTATGTCAGCAAGGCTGTGTGTTGGGAAGATAATACGCCAGATGAAAATATAAATTCGCAGTAGGTTAGAGCGCGTTGCAAGCCACTGGTCAAGGGCGCGAGCTATTTTGACGATCTGCGACAGTTAAGAATCGCCGACTTCTAGCTTAAGCTTTTGTTCTCACAAGAATATTGACTATCGACCGTCGACGCTAAGGTCCTCGCAAATACTTGATGTCAGTCGAAACTCGTTCCTTTGAAGCTGCTGACATACCCTGTGGACTATTCGACTGGACCGATATCTACAGTGCAAAATCCACTGAATTCCCATCACACCACCAGGGCATCGAAACAAAAAAACTGCGGAGCTTCAGAGGAAAAAGTACGAGCTCTGACCCCGATTTGAACGAGGGACCTGTCGATCTGCAATCGACCGCTCTAACCCCTGAGCTACCAGAGCTTGATGGTGGCAAATTTATATAAATATAATTCAATTGCAACGCTAATATTTTCAACTGTCCGTTCCCCGGGCTGTACTTCAAATTCACAGCTGACTATGCCATCTCAAGCTAAATGGTGATTCTTTGCCTGTAATTGTTTCTGCAGTGGAACCTTTGAGCGGGTCATTGCCCCTCAAGTGCAAACGAACGAGATGAGCTGGGCATGCATGCTGGTACCGTAAGTAGGTACTCAGTGACAAGATGCCAAACTGAAGTCGTGGCGAATGACGGGGCTACGGGTGGTTCACGCAAGTTCGTTCTGTGCCTTATCACCGTGTAGACACGATATACCCGGTGGCTGGGACTGCGGAGAACTCTTAGCCCCGAAATAATGTTGTTGACTTCGCTTTTGGCAATTGGACGTTTTCGCGCAAAAATTTGGTTGGCTAAGCAAGATCATTGCGGCTACAGGTGTGGTATCTCCGATTGTCTGATTGATCAGTTTTTTGCGCAAAATCGCGATATCGGCGGATGGCCAAGGAGATAAACCGGCGATATTTGGATTCAGCTAGAAAACGAAGTAACGGTTTTAGGCAACAGCTTGCCCCAAACCACATCTAGTAGGGCGAGAAACCCCACCAAAGGCACATATCAAGGCAAAGCTTCTGTATTAAGGAAATCCCGGTATTGTCAGTTTATACGGTACATGTGTCCTTTATTAGTTGGATTTGATGATGGCCCCTGGGCCTAGTTTATTACTCTGGTTTTTTCGTTGTTTTTTTCTCTCATGAAGTCTCTAGCCTCGAAGTTCTGGCCAATATACGGGGAGGCCTTCAGCCCCTCCCTGCAGGCCTGGTTATGCCGTTTGTTTGTTTCCAGTTATTGGATCAATTAGAGCAAAGAACACCCGTCCCGACCGGTAGTTGGAGCTGTAATGCAGTTTTCTATCAGGCGCAATGCGGTATAATTTCAAAAAATCTACAATGAACGGGCGTTCGCTGGGATTTGCCACCCACCCGACCAAAGGGTCGCACGGCCGGCCGTTCAAACGGTTGTGAAAACCAGTAGTTTGATTCCACATGTTCATTATCTTACGATGACTCGAAAGAACAAGGCAGCTGTGAGATGTCGTCGTATCAGGCCAAGTTCAATATAGTGCTTGGAGACCAAGCCGGATGCTATGATTTGTGCAGATTCCGGCAAGTGATGATTTCATGGGTGAAATGTTTACCGAGTGAGACTCGGTGATACCCTACCAAATGTGTTGTTCAGCCCGTTTCTGGTAAAAAAAAGTTTTCTGCTCGATCCAACGCCCGTTTTGGTGAACCTACACAGATGAGCTAGCGGGACTATCTCGAATTCTCCATGGTCCTTGTTCGATGATTCGTTTCCTTGTTTTGAAGTTCACCGGGAGGATCCCGCGATCCACGCTACTTCTCGCCATACCACCCAGAGAATCCTTCAACTCTTTAGTTGACAGCCGTGATTGTGTTACATTTTCGTCACCGTGCCTTGCTCACGAAGCGGTGAAACAGGACGTCTGCATTGGGTCACATATTAACTGACCGCACGGTAGTTTGCACGATGCTGTGGTCAACAAGCCAAGGGCGCGGGTGCTTCAATTTGATTAATGCTGATCCAGATTGGATCGGGTACACGCCCACATGCTCTGCAAAATTCCGAAATCCGAAATCCTGACTTTTGGTAGGCCTAGGTAGCGTGATTAGCGGGCCTGCGGGAGGCGCTTTTTTGATGGAGCGATTTCTGGGTACCTTGTACACTGAACTATTACTCGCAGCTATGTAGTGATTTAAGATCTGGACGCTTTAAAGAAGGAATCATCCAAACATGCTGCTGTCTCGGTCAAATTCTGGGATGAATCTAGATTCCCGAAAACCGGGAGACTTTGCAGCCGGAAAGGGACGGATGGACAAAATCTGGGCGTTGCTTTTATTGATCTATACCGGTCTCTATACGTTGTAGCCGTGTGTTAGATGTAGACAAGATCGAAAACGAGAGCACTGGGCAAACTAGGTAGAAGAAGTCACTCTTGATTCCGAAATCCACAATCTGCAACCGGCGGTCGATAACGGCGATGATTGGCCAGAACTACACCTATATTCTCGAAACCGTTCGGATGTGCGGCGCCCTTCATGGATGGGCATTAGGCGCCGTCTTCCCCGCTTGAAGTTATTGTTGGTACCTGCAGCTGTCACCGAAGAAGTATTAGCGCTCAGCCACTGCTTTTGGGGCTTCCCAGACACCCTCCTTCTCCACGATAAACCAATGTGGTACAAACCAACAAGTCGGATAATTGCAGGGTATAGTATATCGAAACTATCGCAATTGTCGCACAGCGTTATACATAGCCACAACGAGCAGCTCATGCTCACCCTCCAGTTCGATTGAGCAGTAACTCGGCACTTAATATGATGAAAGGCGCGGGAGGTTGCGTGATATATCATCTGGAGGGAATGTAATATGATGTAAACTATGCGATGATGGTGGAAAACAATTACAGGTCCAAGAACCCAGTGAAGAGAGTCCCCCTTGCACTCACGACACAAATATGCACGTGTATGCGCCCTACAACAGATGAAGCTGTGACATGTGTAGAAGTAGAGTGCGAAGACGACACACGATATTGACTGTTGCGCCGTGCGGCTGGGGTGCATTGTGGGCCTGCTTTGCTTGGCCAAGCTTGCAAGGGATGACGCTGGCTGATGTGAGTTTAAAATAAGGAGTCGAAACAGACTGATGTATAGCGCGTTTCAGCCAATTCCCCAGTCAGCATCGTAACCATCGATATGATGCAGTCCCAATTGGCCGCCCTAGTTGAATGTATACAGCAGAGAACACAAGCAATCTCGCTCGGCTAACAAGTTGTTTGAGCCCCGTCTGTTGAAACAGAGAGTCCACCCATCCCGCAGCTTAATTCTTGCGCGTCCCCAACCAGCGTACAAAGTTCTTATTCTTCGGGATTGGATTGTGATATTGGTGCCTTCTGGTGGTGCCACCAACGTACAACACCCTCTGCCATCGTTTCGATTCGGCCAAATACAGCCGCCGTTCGGGAATCAATGTAAGCTCAGCACTGCATTCCAAGGTTTTTCCAAGGTTTCTTATCTTCCAAAATCCGCCGGCGGCATATGCTTGCTTTACCACCGCGCGTCACCGAGCCAGCAGGAAATCGTAGAGATCACTCTATATATTAATATCGCTCATCGTTGACGACGGGGACGTCCGGACTATGCAATATTGCATAGAAAATGTATCATATGATAACTGCGCGCACTCGCTGTACATATCGTATGCATAGCGGATACCCGCTGCTTGTTGAGCAGGCTTTTAGCCATGAACGGCGCGTGAAGTACGGAGAGTTGCTCGGGACTGGGGTTCACGAGGGTTGAGATTGCCTTTTGCTGCATCGAACCGGGTTGGCCAGAGACCCGGAGTGTCGAATGTCAAAGTTACAGCTGTCAAGTTTAACTGGTGTTTGCCTGAGCTGAAAGCTATGGTGTCATCACCAGTTATGGAGGTTACTGCGAATAGACTGTGAGTAGACCTGGAGGTGGTGTGCATCCAATTGGGTGGGCGGTTATGACTGCATCTAGCCTGATACGATGCTATGGCGGCTGAGAATCACAATTTTCGATTTTGATTTTCGATTCGCATACCAGATAAGCCGAATCAGCAGGTGGGATTACCGTTTCACGCATATTTTTCGCTAGAACTCTTGCGCCCCCGTTCTGCATCGGTTCATCTCGAGCAGACGTTAGCTCTGCCAGGCAGTTATATCACTCCAGGGTCGGATGGGTACAAGTACCGGTACCGAGAGACTGCCTACGGTCTTACCTGACATGGTCTTCGGAGGCCAAGAGTGCACACCGCAAGCCCGCTCATAGATAAAGCACGCATCCCTTCCGCTCACCTCCACACACGAATTTTTTCTTTATATTCTTCTTAATTTTCTTCTTCACCGCCTTTAAAATAATTCGATTCTCCTACTCCTCATTTTTTCAGCCCCCCCTCGAATTCGCCTGCGGTGCATATAGACGCCGCCTCCTTGCTCTACCTGCTGCAGTTATAACGTTACATTACTATTGCACCGCCGCAATATAAGTATTCTTGCACGCGCCGTCTCAGCTCGTAACTGCAACTTCCGAACTTCATCGAAAATCCTCAATCTAAAATCATGAGTGGAAAAGACCGTTCCTCGTCCTCAACGGCGCCGATAGCAGATGAATCTGGTTTATCCGGCCGCCGTTTCCAACTTTCACATAACAGCGTTGCAAAGAACTGTATGTACTAC